TCTCTCTCTCTCTCTCTCTCTCTCTCTCTCTCTCTCTCTCTCGCTCTGTCTGTCTGTGTGTATTTCCATCCGTCCGTCTGTCCTTCACTCCGTCCGTCTGTCCTTCACTCCGTCTGTCTGTCTGTCTATCTATCTCTACCTCTTTCTGTCTGTCAGTCTCTGTGTTAACGTCTATGTGTTTACTGCTCGGGATCCCACTGTTCTCTGACGCCCAAACAGCATTGCACGAAATTTCGAAATATCCACGAATTTAACGCATTTTTGCGCCAAGGCTCTTCAATTCGTAATTTATTCACTGCGTTCCTCCGGTCGGTCACACAAGGTCAACATTTCAGGCTAGAGCAGGAATCTTCATGAACATACTCGGTGTACTGGTCGTAACCCTCATGGTCAACACATACGGTGTATACGTCTTCAACTGGGGCCCTCTACCGGATTGGGCCGCTGCAGGCCTGGCCGGATATGGCGCTGCCAAAAGTGCGTGCGTCTGCGAGGCACCGACAACGATGACGATGGCGTCGCTTAACGACACGTTGCTGGGATCGTCGCTTAACGACACATTTTTCTAAATTTTCTTAAAAGAATACGTTTACGGTACATACGTATTACGTAATTATGTAATACGTAAGTTTTTTATACGTAATTATGTAATACGTAAGTTTTTTATACGTAATTATGTAATACGTAAGTTTTTTTATACGTAATTATGTAATATGTAATTTTTTATTAGGTAAAATGTTATGTAACATGTAATTTTAATACCTACTTATGTCATATATTTTATAATAAGTGATAATGTAATTTTTTAATAGATAACTGCATGTTATATGTAATTTTCAAATACATGCGGACCACGATGAACAGGTTCAGTTGTAGGATGCGATGGAAACGTTTGGCAGTGCCAGACGCTAGCCTATCTCAATGACAACGGATAGAATGCGTGTTCTGGCGATGTTACGGGAACATTCTCTCTGTAGCGGATGCTGGCAATAACCGCGAAAATATAACAGAGTACAGAACTCTATTTATATTTGCATGGAGATTACACATTCCTAAATATTTTTATATATATTTTAGTACGTTTTGGTAGCCGAGTAGCCATAATATCAGGAGTTAATAAAGACAAATTGTCTTTATTAACTCCTGATAATATGTTACCCGATACCATAACTGTCAGCATGTGCAAAACAATGATCGATGCCTACTAGTGTATACTGTGATTATGCCTATGTAACGAACATTTAAGGCACAATATAAGACATACGCTCACGCGCACACGTAATCGTATGTGAAGACAATTTTATTGCTAGAACATTATTCCGGCATGATATTTTCTACGGTCTACCGGACATGGTAACACACGCACACATCACACATCACAATTATTGCCCTCACTCGGCTGCATCGTATCCTGATCGTATGCCCCTACGCATTACTTGTTTATACTCGCGGTATAAAATAAAATATACATCAACCTTTAACACAGGTACGACTCCCCCCCGGGGGTGCAATCAGAAAAACACAAGAGACATACTAGCTAACACTTCTAGACTGACCTACGTCAATCTACTCTTTCGCCCCTCCCTTCACATGCTGCTTATGCAAAATCGGACAGCCGTGATACCTGTGATCAGAAACCATTATAGACATTATCATCAGTCTAGGAATTTACAATGCCATGACTTTTGCAAGATACTTCATTTTGAAAGTCACGATATTTACGTATTGACATGTCATAATAATTTCCTGATGTTTCTGACAATGGGCCCCTTGTCACGGGAAGCATGAAGTAAAAGTAAAAAGTAAAAATCGAAAGTAGTGAGTTTATGACTAAAGGCCCGTTGTTAGAAACAAAAATTAGTCTTAACATTACCTTTTTATCGTAGTCTGGATCTCCACACATTGCGTAAGAGAAACTCGTAACTTTACGATATTTCTGTTTACAGTGTATGAAAACAGCCAATGTTCAGATGAATTTTAAAAAACGAATTTTGTTTCTGACAACGGGCCCCAGGTTTCCGGGTAATAAATACTCTAACGTCTAAGCAAGAAATGGCTCACCGATCTACGCACCGTAGTCAGCCATAGAGAAAGAAGTAGGACGCTGAGGGATGGGGCAAGACAGGAGGAGGAGGCAGACGGAAGCGTCTTTGTGTGCGAAAACGGACGGGAGAGAGACGACGAGACACGCGGCTCAAGAGCAGCTTGGGCAACAAGACGTGGAGGAAAGAAGAGGAGGGTGGGATGAAGGCCGTAGTGAGAGCAGTATAGGAAGGGCTTGGAGCAAGTCCAACGCAATGTGTATGAGAAGCTGTCATGGATGAAAACGCGCACGATTACCGCGCTTCCCTTCAGGAAAATATACAAATAAATACAGACTCACAAACAAAATAGAAGAAAACCGAGAAGTGAATGCAGTACATGCTACCAGGTGAATAATGACACATACGCTTGTCATTCACCTTACCTAACCTAGCAACGGGGATGTCATACTTACACCTTACCTGTTAATCGCAATTGCATGTTCTGATCACACATACAAATTGAAACACACGGCAATACTATGCATAATAACATATACTAAGCATAATATATATATATATATATATATATATATATATATATATATATATATATATATATATATATATATATATATATATATATATATATATATATATATATATACTAGTATATACTATACTTATGTTTACTACTCGATGGATTCTTGTCTATGACGACCTGTGCGGTGGAAGGTTATATCTGAAACGCATCTTCCACGCCGTATACGCTTCAAATGTGTAAGTAAAATGAACGCAGCCGAAAGTGTCCCACTGTCCGAGATTCCTGGCAGGCGCGTAATAACATTACACTCACTTCTACCACATCTATTTGCGCACGCACGCACGCCCGCCCGCACGCACGCACGCACGCACACGAGCACTCACTCATGAACGCATGCACGCACACATGCCCTCACGCAGACTGGATGCCAAACACATATAATACATAACCTTAAAACGACTCTATTTACAATCAAAGAACAGCAGACAATCTAGGAAAACCGAAGCATCCCTATCTACTTCTTCCACCACCCATAACAGGAAATCATAATCTCACTCATGATGCTACTCCCCCCCCTCCCAATTGTGTGTAAAGTAATAAATTAGCTAGAAAATAGCTATATGAACACCACAATCCTAACGACCATTTATAGTGGTACAGTATTTAACATGGGGTGTCTGCTTCACCTCGTCAGCTCATGTAGAAAACCTTTAGATAAATGCAAAGAGCACTACAGATAGCAACGATTCAAAGGAAACGTGTGGTCAGAAAATACACACAAAGCATAAAATCTACAATCAATTCGATACCAAGAGCAGTCGGAAAGATCGGATTAAGAAAATATGACACCATAAAAACAATGCGCCAGCGAAGTTCGAGTTGCCAGCAGATACTTGGATATATAAAAATCTCAGCAGGAAATTTTCGTACGACCGATTTCTCACATCCTGACCCTGACAAGTGGCGCCACCTATCAGCATTGTACGTAGCCATGGTTACTTCGCTCGGCCATGCACGCGCCGCGTGGGTCACATTCCCCTGCGGACAGACATAGCAAAATGATATAAATAATTGATTCGATCGATCGATCGATCTGACAATCGCACAATCGATCCGACGATCAAACGATCGATCAGATAATCAGTTAATCGATCAGACAAACGAACCATGGATCCTGTGTCCTGCTCCGCTCTCTCCTCCCTCTCTACCACCGCATTATTATGTCAACGCTCCGCTCCAACGGTGGACCACACCGCTCAACCAGGTGGCGCTACTGCAGCAGGGCCTCTCCGGTGAGCTGCTCAACCAGGTGGCGCTACTGCCTCGCCGGTCCGCTGCTCAACCAGGTGGCGCTACTGCAGGAGGGCCTCGCCAGCAAGCGTTCCGGACCGCAGCTCAACCAGGTGGCGCTACCTTCGACACGGCAGACCGTGCCGCTCCACAAGGTGGCGCTACTGCAGCAGGGCCTCGCCGGCGAGCATTCCGGCGAAGTACTTCTCGACGAACTCTCGCACGGCGGCGGTCGTCAGTGGCGTCGGCGTGGCGACAGCGGCGGCGGCGGCGGCGGCGTGGCGGTACAGCGTCTGCTCGGGGATGTCGACGATGAGTAGCTGAGGAAGCTGTGTGTCCGTGACGCGCGCGAACTGTCGCACCGTATCACAGAATTCGTCCTGCGTGCGAGAGAGAGAGAGCGAGAGAGAGATGAGGTAAAGATGTGTGTCCGAGACGCGCGCGAACTGTCGCACCGTATCACAGAATTCGTCCTGCGTGCGAGAGAGAGAGAGAGAGAGAGATGAGGTAAAGATGTGTGTCCGAGACGCGCGTGAACTGTCGCACCGTATCACAGAATTCGTCCTGCGTGCGAGAGAGAGAGAGAGAGAGAGAGAGAGAGA